GCATATGTCCGTCCATCCCGCCCGCATTCGGCCAAGAAGACGGAGTGCCGTCGGGGCCATAGAAAGCATCCCTGCCCACTTGAGTGTGTTACAATGCCTTCAAACAAAATCACTTGTCAGGGGTCGTTCCTTTTTGGGAGTGTCTCTAACCCCCCCCACCCCACCCCAACCCTTTGTCACTTCAAACATGCTGCTCTGGGTGTTTCAGACACATTTTTCTAATGTTTTACACTCCATATAATCTGCTGTGTGTAGCAAAGCCCATTTTACTAGCTGACATAATTGATGGTGCCCGCGACCCCGCGAGGGTCAATGGGGCAGAAGGGTGTTGGTTTCTATCACCACGGAGATTGCAAAAACACATTAACGCGCACAGTCAAATTAGGGGACTCTTTATGCTCGTCTAATGAATTTGAAGTATCTTGTTTTTTAGGAAATACATCCAAAATGACTTTTAATAAAGTTTTTTTGAGGCGTTTTAGAAATGTCAAAATCTAGATGTTAGGGATCGGTTTCAATACTCATTTACAGTGACGCTTCTTTGGGGAACTCGTATCTAATGCAATCGAATACAACAGCCCTTACATGAAATGTATCTTTACGAAGTTTATTACTGAGGTCATAGTTAAATTTGAATGCATTGTTCATTGAATCCTATAATAAGATCCTGAACATTATTTACACCCGTTGTTAGAAGGTAAAAGAAACCACTGATTGTAGGCAACATAAAAGTAGACGTTATTGCAGTCGACTACAAGTCAAAATCCTTCAAAAATCTCTCTAAGTGCAAAGTTACTAGTCCAACAAACCTCTTTGAAAGTCAGTGCTCTGCAGGTTTTGCTTTGGAGAACTGCTCAAAATTGCACTGATAAATCAAAAAAGGAAAAAACCTTCATACAAAGAAAAGACAAGAATCCTCTCTGAGTGAACATTTTCATAGACCTGTCTTCCCTCATTTCCTTTACTCTTTACTTTGATAAAATCAAGGGTTGCGAGGCTTCAAAGTCTTGAAGTCAACCCTGACCAGCAATGTTGACACCCTTCGCCACGCCCCTACACACACGCAGACAGACACGTCTTATCAACCCATCTCACGTGATGGAAACTGAACAAATTTTGTTTCAGATATGCTTCAATTTTCAACCTTCTGTAATCATGTGACCGCAGGCAGACGGCAGGGAAACAGCCACACACACACACACACACACACACACACACACAGACTCTATTTTTCATGACTTCAAGTGTGATGTCACAGAAAAGTGAATGTGGTCTGGTCTTATTTCTTCCTGGGCTAATATAATTTTTCCACCGGTGGAGAGTCCCCCCCAAGAGGAAAGTAACTCAACAGAGGCATGCGGCAAAAAACACACGGATCCCTTGTCCAGACTAGAACCGGTCCTGGCAGGATCACAGCTCCCAAGTTGTTTATATCAGTGAGCAGAAGCTATCCATTACCCCGAGCAAGGTGCCTGATGCCTTTTTCCACCAGCGGTCAAAGTGATATTGGTTTCACGTATTAGAGGGGAGAGAGGGAAATGGAGTCTGCCAAACTCCCACTCCCACTCCTGTGAAATCAGATGTGTGGCAGAGGTCGCTGGATTGTTGGAAGATTGTGAGAAAAATAAAAAAGGTTAAAACATTGAGGAATAACAGTAGAAGACAGAAGTATTAGATGTGTTGCACAAATTCGGGGGCGTTCGCTCCGTCATTGTGCAGGTGACCAGGCCGACGCCCTGCTGGACAGTTAACCCACTTTTTTAGTGCAGTCGCCATTCCAACGACTGTGTGAAATGCAGTAATATAGTATATAGTTGATATATAATACACATACACATGGTATTACTGAAATCCAATGTCCTCAGAAATGATTGTCCTCACACGGAGAGACAGTCAGGTCTAATGGCCTGTTGCCGGACCTGTCACACAGGGAAGTGGCAGGGAGACAGGTGCCAAGGTTGTCTCACATATAGAGACTGGCAGCTATAGTAAATATAAATAACACCAGCCACAAGCCCGAATATGGGGAATATAAAGGGGATTTACTCGTGATTTTGTTTACCACCGCCCTTCTTAGGTAACCTCCCATCATTTGCATGGTTTATTCTATGTCTAAAATAGTTTAAAGGGGAAGTCAATTTCATGCTTTTGAAGCGTTTATGGTCAGCCGATGTAACGCGTTTCAGCGAGCTTAAGGCTGCTATGGGTCCCCTGAAAGTCCTGGTCTAAAGTCAGCTTGTACATTTCATGGGGGTGTTAACAGTTTTTTTTTTTTTTTATCTAGAAGCTCTGTTTGACGCAGCATATACCTTCAGCTCTACGTGCTTTTCTTCTTTTTTTTTTAAACACTTTTGACCCATCACGTGAGTTTTTAACCGACGTAAACCTTATTGCACACGTGTAGCAACAAACAATCTTCCCATTCTGTCGTTCTGAGGAGAATGAGTGACGCGTTGTTACGTGATGGAGTAGACAGATGCTTGTTGCTGTTAAGATACAGCCCTGGCTCGAGGTGTTAGTGAGCCGCCCCAGGCTACCCTCCAGCCAGCCTTCGCTTGGAACACTATCATCACTCCAGCTTCCCTACAACCACAAAATAACCTCAGTCTGCCTGCGTGTTTGTTTGCCTACCCTGCTGCTGCAAACGGGCCGGAAATGTTTATGCCTATCGGTTGGGCAGTAGACAGGGTTGAGTTTGGGATCTGGGGACCGGGGACGGAGGTACCCGCATCCTTCTTGTCCTCTTGTTCACCTCGCGATGAGGGCCGGGTCAGGGGGGGGGGGGGGACATGTGTGGTCAGCATCAGGCTGGAGGGAGATGGAGGCTGAGGATAGCTACTGTCATCGCGGGGTAAATAGAAGGAAAGAGGGGGATGATTGGTGCTAACGCGGGCCAGGAGATGAAGGCCTGTGGTCTCGCCGTGGCCGACTGAGGCAGGGCTCGACCAGTAAACAACCAGTGGGGTGTCTAAATGGCCTCAGGATCAGCCTGTGGCTAAACCTGATGTCCTCTCTCAGCAATGGGTCTTCTGAACAAAAGACCATAGGGACACACACACACACACACATTTCATTAGAATGGGCTAACACAAACGCACACGCACTCTCTTGAAGCAGGAGTGGTTTAACGTGTTTAATGGAAGCTGGTGGTTTATTTTTGGGACTCACTTTTGACCGTCAATTAATCGGGCAGTCATGATGTACAAATATGAGGGACTCAGTTGAAAAGGTGCTCAATACGGCACTTAACATGGAGACTAGCCGGCGGCTAGCAGCTAATGGTGCGAACAGCCCAAAAAGGCGGTGACAGAGCGAACATGTTTAACCTGAGGGGCACGGGAAGCCACGCCGGCGCCGGCGTCGACGTTGACCTCAGTGTGACTGCCGGGCAGCGCCGTCACGTGGAGGTCACGACAGAGGGTCTCGCGTGCACGGAAATGCAGGCGGGCCGGCCCGCAGGACACCACGGATTAATGTACACAGTTGGGTAGCCATTGTTTCCACCGTATCTTTTTAAAATATTTGCTGCTATACTGTTACGATTACATCAACATTTCTAATTGGTGCACCCTTTAAAAGTTTATGAAATATTCAGTTTACAGTAGTTCCCCCCCCCCCACCCGACTACTCATTCTGCCTCCACGTCCAGCTTTGCAAAGAACGGATCATGTCCGAGCAAGTTACCGTCAACTACAATTCACATCAGCTCATCAGCGCTGAGCTCGACACACTTGAACTGTGCCAAAAAAGCGAGCTTGGAAATGTGATTTCTACCGGCTGAGATGGTGATACAGTCTGAATGCACTTTGTGGCACTTTCTTGTCCTGACACTCATCCCAGGGAGACGGGGGTTTGATCCAAACCGAAAAGTACAATTTCCACAGGGAGTACAGCCGGCCCGGCTTCCTCCTGGTCACCGTAATCTTTGGTGTCTCCTTCCAGTCTGGTGTAATCAGTCACACAGCGCCACGTGTTTTGACACCTGTCCTGTGCGGTGTGGAGGAAGTAAGCATATTACTCTGCCCGCAAATCAGACGCCTTTCCCTTGGAAACACACACACAGACAATCAAACCCATCTTCACACGAATTAAGACGGACAGGTAGATTGTCAGAAACGGATTAAAAAGGAGGGAGAGGTGGAGGAAATGAAGGTTTCCCTTTTTTTTTTTTTTTTTGAAAAGCGGGTCGGATGACGGGGGAAGCGAGCGACTATTAATGGGAAGAAATGAACGCGCTTTACTGGTGGATGTGACAGGAAGAGACTGTTCTTAACAAGGCGTCAGAGTCAGTCAGAGTTACAGATCCATCACTTCTCAGTCCGGGAGCGAGAGGAGGGGGGGGGGGGGGAGACATTTAAGGATATTCAGAGACGGAGAGAGTCTGTGAAGGGTAGAAAAGAAGAGGGAGAAAGGAGGATTTGAGTGCGCCTGACAGCGCTGCATTTAATTTGGGCTGCCAGATCCTTTTTCAGTTGACTCCCTCTCAACCAGCTTAGAGGCTGCGGAGGACTTGGTTTGCCAGGATGTCTCAGATTAGCATTGATGTGCCACGTCACACTTTAAGCCGGCCTGTAATTCATGTTCAACAGGGGGATACTCACACATTACACTGTGCTGTGCAGGACGTGATTAATTGACTCACACTCTAATATTGGGTGTAATTTGCCCGTCCTCTGATGTGAAACTGACTTATACTAGACTTACTGTATGTCGCCGTCCCAGGGACGTTATAATGGAGTTTTGGCTCAGAGAGCGGTGTCGTTTCTATAGCGAGGAAGCTCGATGATGGAGGGAATGGCTTCAAGTAGTTAGAACTTAATTCCATGGAGTTTATTATTTAGGGAACTTTAAGTTGTACTAAATAATTGTCTTGCTCAAGGATGGAAAACCAACCAATGTCATTGTAGGTGCTGTTTGAAAAAGACAATATTCTATGTGGAAAGTTTTTTTGGACTTTTTTTTTTAAAAGGTCATACTTTTATTGCACTTTTTCCCTGCAGACTTTGCTCTTCCTGGACGCAGTGGAGGAAGAAGAGGAGGGTCACGAAGTAGAGGGAAGGAGGGACATGGCAGACATCCTCCTGTCTGCCTTGATAGACAGACAGCAGCAAAGACAGACGTGGAGAGACAGGTAACACAATGTACCGCCCACTTTGTTCTTTCCACGGGTCCTTGAAAAATACATCTGTGACAGATGTGTGAGACAGGTAAGGTACGAGCACTGTCTCATCTTTGGAACGGGAACGCCATCACACACAAATAAGAAAATCACTCCAAACTCATTTGGGGAATTCGCTTTTCTGCTTAATATTTAAAAGGTAATGTTGTATTCATACATTTGGCAGTGGGCTGCCGGGGAAACTCAATGATTCTACTTCTGTAGCCTTGATATCCCCAAAACAAGGTCATAAAATGAATGTTGCGTGCTCGAAATTGCAAAAAAAAAAAAAGATTACAATTAAACAGTCCAAAACTGCAGCAAGAACATGTTGTTCGTGACACTAATTAAAACTTATTTGAATATTATTCGAGTTAATGACTAACTAACTGAAACGGTTGGCCTACAAACGGCTCACAAACACTAAATAACTCATGTGAAAACATTTGATTCGAGGGTCGACACCCGGGCTGTGAATAAACATGAGTATCGTTACCAACGAGCAACAGAGGCAAATATTCAGCCGTTCCCTAAAACTCGGACAAAACTTTGAGGCACGCCACGACGCCACCAGCAGTGGTCATAACAAGGAGCCGCGGACGTGGTGGCGAGTGTGAGCCTCACGTTGAAGGCGACTGGCGTTCACATCGTGGAGCGAAAAACAAATCATCGCCTCGGCCCTGCTTTGATTCAGAGGCAGATGTGAATTCCGCAGATGTGCAGCGGCGTAGTCGGCGTTTGTTCGTGGTCCTTGGGTCTGGCAGCTAGAGCAGCTATCGCAGCGACACGTGCGTCTTGGATAAGCCCAGTCACTTCCTTCCTCCCAGATAAGGGCAGAGAGCTCAAGGATTAGAACACTGGTCATTCATTCAGATAAAGCAGGGCCTCACACACACACACATACACACACACACACACACACACACAGTGTTATTTTAGCTGTTCATTGTCTCAGTCACTCTCCCCCTCAGCACTAGTAAGGACACACACAAACAATGACATGCATGTATATACTAGATTCGCATCCACATGCGTGTTCACTGCTTATTGTCTCTATCAATGGTTTTGACCTCAGTGTCACACACACACACAAATATACACACACTTTGGACCAGACGTGATTCAGAGCCTGAAGGAAGCAGAACTGCCCGGGGCAGAATCCACAGACTGGAAATTCCTGAAAGCGATGTTTTTTTCTTTTGAAACATCGATGCAGTGTTGCTGCTCTGTGTTTTGAGTCGCCCCCCCCTCGGTTGACCCTCCGCTCTGCCCCGTCCAGATGAGCCTTGTAAACAGGCTGTTTCCACACACCTTGCTCGGCCGCGTCGACGCCCGCGGCCTCACTACTCGGACGGAGGGCCCGCTTCGAAAGTGCATTCCAGCTGCAGGTGCTGAAAGCTAGAAACCACGTCACCCCACCCACCCACGGTCCCGGTTCCCCCTCACCACCCACAATGCAACGATACCACCTCTTAGCCACGTCTGACCCCGAGACTGGGCTCCGTCCACCCTGAGGTCCTGACAACGCGTATCACAAACCAGGGCAGGAAACGCTCCGTCCTTGTCGGCGAGCAGACAGACGTTTACTCCATCAGCAGTGAGAGACTGATTAGATTAGTCTTAGAGGAGGGCGAGCGTCCCACACAATGTGTTTGAACTCCAGCTGCTCCTGATACACCACCTCTCCCCTTTGAACACAGTAAATGTCTCTCCCTAACCCCCATTGCCCCCACTTACAAAAACAAAAAAAAACAGGGGCCATCCTGTCAAGTGGCTGTCAACAGATTTCATTTACGCAAAACTAAACACATGGCTGTGCGCAATGTTAAGTGGGACGCACTGGTACCGATTTAAGATTAGAAAAAAATCCAGAAGCGGTTTTCAGCCAAACTGGAGAGAAGTCATTGTTTTCAGCAGCGGATACAGTATGTTACGGAATCAGTTCACCTCAGTCAGATCTATTTAAATCTTTTCACCAAGCGCTCACCACAAACGGGCTCCTGAAATTAATTAGCTGATTTGTTTTTTGCAGCTTTCTCTATATCGGGTGTCCAAATTTGGTTTCCACACAATACGCGACGGGCATGCTTTAATCGTACTACTCCCTTTTGTTTCCATAGTTTTTATTCAGTGCATAATCCTTCCAAAAGGATGAAAAAAGGAGAAGAAGAGAGAAAAAAACAACAACAACAGATGATTGATGACTCTTGCCAGAGGCACATAAACATAAACAACCTCGGCTGATTGATTAAGGTTCTCGCCGACTTTTGTTTCTTAAACACCAGTTAAAGCAGCACCCGCTGCAACGTGGGCCCCGCTCGCTGGCGTTTTCTGCCTCCGGGGCATTTTTAGCAGTGCCGAGAAGCAGAGAAAGAGAAATTGGACCTGGTGACCAGTGGTTCTTCATGAGTGACTTATAGGCACTCAGAGTGAGTGATGCCTCCGCTCGCCCCGCTAGCAGGAGCAGTCCATTCATTCCCTCTGAGCCAACCAAGTTATGAGAGCTTTTTTATTCTTATGAGCTTTTCTGGTAACTGGGTTTTCCCGATGCACATGGCGAATTCTTTGATAGATGCTGCCCTCCATGTCCCTTTGGTAAATGCCCCGTGAGCGCCCTGGAAATAGATGGATTATTACGTGGGTGGGTGACTGTACTGTGGGAGAGCAGTTTAGTGTGCCACTCAGGAAGTGCAGGGGTTGGCGAGCCAAGGCACCAGCGCCGGGGAACATATTAGGAGAGAAAATGACGCATCCCAGTGGCGCCAGAAGTATAGAGATTCAGTAACTAACAGAGTTACTAGGCTTTTTTCTTTATCACCTGCGCAAATACTGTTCACGAAGAAAACACCGTGTGACTCACCGGAGGTATACGTACACAGAAAAATCCATCGAGTTTAGTTTTGGGATGCCATCTTGAATGTGCGCTTACAGTGTGGTACGAGGCGACCTCGCGCTGACCCCGCGGCGCCTTGAGGTTAACGCTCCGACCAACAGGAAAAAAAAACAAAACGTAAAAGTGGTTTGTCACAGCCGGCGAGCAAAACACTGAAGGGAACAGCTGCGAGTTTTGTACTGACCATGCAAACTGCTGTAGGCTTTGTAAGGTCATTATATGATAATGAAAATCATTACAGAATTACATGGGGGTTTAGGACATGGGAGCAGCGGGGAGGGGAGGGGAGGGCCACATTGGGTTTGATAAATGGACTGTGAAGGTGCCCATCTGGCCCCCTCTATGGCTTTTTCTTCCTGCTCTTTTATCCACTCTCGTCCTTTACCACCTCTCTTTCACTCGCCCCCTCGCTTCTGCGGCTTGCAGCCAGTGTGGAAGCAAGCAGGCCTGCAGTGAAACATTAACAGGGTGCAAAGCCGACTCACCTCTGCGGAGGAGAAAAAGAAGAGGGGAGACAGGCGGAGGTGTTTATGACCCGGAGCAGGGTTTGTGCATGACTTGGCAAAGCCTGTCCTCCCATCGCTCAGTGTGGGCCGGTAGGAGAGTAGGCAGCCGTTGACCTTTGACATCGGGAACAGCTCAGGATGAGTGAGTCGCTGTAGTTTGGGGAAATGTAGGCGTGCTTTGTTTAATGGGCCGTAATTCAAGGTTTAAAATACTAATACTATTTCATTTGTTTGTTGTCAGTAAACTTATGTAACGGCTTTTCTATGCAATAATTTGTATTTTGTTTCTTTTAATAATGGAAGCACAGTTTAAAGTATGCATCTACAAGAGAGCCTCTAGTTCAATTTATTTCAATGTAGTTTCGAATTTTGCATTATTTTAGCAACAGAAATGACAACCATTTCATTTTTTTATCACAGGCTAATGGCTTTTTTATTATCTAAATCAATTTCTGTCACCCTTTGAAAGGACAAGGACTTGACCCACACCACACAGGCCAGGGTGTCCCCATAACAGCTGTACATTCTGAATCGGTGGCATAGTACATCTGTCGCCTGTGTTTATTACTTTTTTCCGACTTGTTGAGAGTTACTGAGGTCTTTATCCTCCCACAAAGGCGACATCAGCTGACATGGCAAGCAGGGCCGCGGAACAGAGAAGGAGGTCCACGTGTCCACAGCTGCACTCATCACTCAGCTGTCCGGCTCGACCCATGACCCCCAGGGCCGTCTCACACCCTTCATCGGCTTTATGTTTCCTGCCATTGTCTTCCTCTCTTGTCCTCACCTGGACGGGGCGATGCTTCACAAAGAGGGCCCAGTCTGTCATCAAAACCAAGGGTCACCGGGGGCCAGCACAGGCCAGAGACCTGACGTTGAAGCTGTGCCCGGCCGGGGATGACCCCCGCCAGTGATGTCAGCTACCAGTTGCACCCCTGTGGACACGCATAGAGACCGAGAAAAAGGAGGAGAGGGACTACCGTTGGCAGGCATTTCATTCTAGGAGTGGTGACATTTCTTTTGTGTTGTCCCTGACAGACCCCGCCCAGAACCCTGCACTGGGGTGGGACAGGGAGTGCGTAGACAATGGAGGTCCCCAGTCCCAGATGGGAGTTGGAAAGATTGTCAATGTTGTGTCCACAATAAAGATGGACAGACCAAAGCCCTGTCTAATGTGGCCAATGAGCCCTTTAAAGCCCCTAGAAATGGAGACGCCATACTGCAGGGATTACTCCCATCCCATTTACGACTCACTTTCTTTATAAACTCGAGGGTTTGCGGGACACAAGTTCCCATAGGCTTGGGGCACGGGCGTCATCTGTTCAGCGGTCGTCGCACAAGGGTTTAGGACAGTGTGATGGGCTTTGTGCGGTAAGGTTAAGAGAAGCGGGCGTGGTAGGTTTGATTAGCAAGGGGGGCGTTAGGAAACCAAAGCTCAACCCCCACATTTTCCTCAACAACCCCCACAGAGGAGACGGCTCGGTCTGTCTGGCCAGCCGTAAGCTCCGCTGTTGTTTCGGGGGGGGGGGGGGGTGGAACTCCCATCCAACGACCACGTTCTTCATCCCATCGCG